ACTCTATGCCGACAGGAGAGAGCTTTCCTGCTGGCATAATTAAACCACCCCTAATGAGTGGCGGTAGCTATGGCTGTGGGAGAGTGTCTCCCACTGACGTATCGCTGTCCACACCGGCACTTTTGTCAGTGAAATTTATGTCGGTAGGGGCATGTTTTTTTCCACACCCCTGACCAACAAAAGTTTTACGGACAAAAGTGCTCGTGTAGACATAAGAGTGGGGTTCACAAAAGTGCCTAGGTGACTTAGCAGCACAAGTCTCACTGATACTTAGGCACTTTTGAAAATCCCACCATAAGTTTAAGAGAACCTGGTGCTGCATTCCTGGTGCATTGAAAATGTTGGTATCAATGGGAGTTTTGAGAGTACAGTGATCACAGGGCTAAGTCCAGAATTGGCTGCAAGATTTAGCAATTCTTTACCTTCTATTAGTGCCAGTGACATTCATTGACCAGATGCAAGTAACACAAGCGTGCCAGGAATCAGATGCACCATAAATGAGACTAACACACTGAACAACATATATGGCTGGGAGGATGAAAATGTCCAATCCCTAAAGAGAAACAATTATTACTGTTAGGGAATTTATTTCCATTTTATTATTATTTCTGGTTTTGTGTTTTTGGGGGGAGTTGTTTTGTTTTTTGTTCATTTGGGGTTTTTTTTTTTAAATCCTTAATTATAAGAGGACCAGATAATATCATTTATTCTGCACTGTCCTCCACACCCAAGTTGTGACAAAGTCAGGCTGGGTAGCTGCAAGAGAGTGGTCCTTATTGTGTTCCAGGAAAAGGGTGGGTATGTTAGCCCTAGAATGATAAATTTCAGAGTAGCAGCTGTGTTAGTCTGTATCCGCAAAAAGAACAGGAGTACTTGTGGCACCTTAGAGACTAACAAATTTATTAGAGCATAAGCTTTCGTGGGCTAAGAAGTGGGTTGTAGCCCACGAAAGCTTATGCTCTAATAAATTTGTTAGTCTCTAAGGTGCCACAAATACTCCTGTTCTTTTTGTAGAATGATAAAGGCTCTTTTTCCTATAATCTCAGAAAGGGCTACAGCAGGTCAATTAGGGACACCTGGGCCAATTAAGGGTTGCCCCAGACCTTTAAAAACCCTTCCTCTGGTGAGAGAAGGAGGAGAGACAAGCTGCTGCCAGGCTAGTGGCTGCAGGAAGATAGGCTATTGTAGGGTGAGAAGCTGCTCTCCTCCCTACAGGGTCAACAACCCAAAACGGAGTGCCTGTTTAGGGAAGGACTGACACCCTGTGGCCAACAGGGCAACACTCCCCCAGTGAGGAGGCAGGGAAAGGTATCCTCCCCCTTTGTTTTGTGATTGTAAATTGGTTTCTTTTGTTTGGAGGAGGAGCACTCCTTGGGCCTGCCCCAGGCCTACCTTGAAAATACTGATCAGTAAATATAGAGGGGGAAGACAAAACACTGACCAGAATGGGCCCTGCCACTGCCAGAGGGCGAAGTGCTAAGTTCAGCGAGACAGAGGAAGTCCCTTGCCACACAATTGAGTAGTCTGAGAGGAGCAAACCCCTCTTTCCATTGTTAATGGAAGATTGTTTCAATTTACCGTAATTCACTGTTCCTTAAGCACTGAAGGCAGAGGGTCCAGTTCTGCTCTCCTCGAAGTCAAAGGGAGCTTTGATGCTGACTTTACTGAGAGGTGACAGAGCCCAAACTGCCTACCATTTTCAAATACATTTTGTGGTTTTAGCAGTATCCCTTCCATTGGTGTGAAGGGGAGCTGCACTTGCTCACTGTTCTGAAAGACGTACCTATACAAATGTTTTTGTTGAAGGCTTTGCCCAATAAAGGAAAGCAAGTTCAGTGCATCACAGGCCATTTCAGCTCTAGCATATTATTTCTTTGGCTTTGCCAGATGACAATTTACTTACAGGACCACAAAGATAATTTTACAAGTGCAGAGACCTTATTCATAACCACCTCTAGAAACATTTCTACCAACCACCAACTAAAGCACACTAAGGGAAACTCCTCAGACACCTGAAAACCAAGAATATTAAACCTTAAATATTAAAGGTTGGCTTTTACTCAAAAAAACTGATCAAGGGAGCCATTTGCTCATTAAGTGTATAAGCCCACAATTTTAAGATAAGTTAGTGTCAGGTTAACCAGGTTATTTTTGTTGCTTTATTATACTGACAGATACATTCTATTAGCTCTAATAAGCAAGCATAATGTGCATATTTACTACATGGGTAGCATATTTTTAAAAAGGGAATGTGAATCTAACCAGAGATATTTTACTGAAGAACACCATCCACACCAACACAGCTTGAAAGATGCAGCTCAAGTAACTCACATATAGAGTTATTTCTGTCTGCTTCTGCCATACACACCCATCCTTTTGTACACTAGTAGCCTTTTCTACTTGCAATATCCCATTAATTTGCTTATAATATGGGGGGATTCTCAAAGGCAAAAATGGCATTAAGTGCCAAACTGTCATTGAAAGTCAAGGAATTTAAGCACTGAAGATCTCCCTCAAGGTCTTCTGTTGCTACTAAAACAGACTTTGTTTAGTTATACCTCAAGAGAACATTTCTTGTTGTCAAGAAACTCAAAATAGCTAACTGGGGGGGGTGGGGGTGGAAGCTTAAAACCTAACTACACACTGCTGTCCAATGTTCATTTGCATAAAATGAAGTAGACCTACACCATTTGAAGTCATCTAGAGCATAAGAGTGTCAGCACACTTGTTAGGGGCAAGCTTTTACAAGAACTGTAACATGTATTTGTGTTAAGTGTTCATTTGTTTTCCATTTTAATAGAAAATAAAAATTTCTCCACACTCTTGTCACAGCATCATCACAATGCAGACAGTATTTGTTTCCCTCATTGGTTGGAAGTTTGACAAACAGAACACAAATGGTTAGTTTTTAGAATGTCAATTCTTATTTAGATTGTAAGCCCTAAGGCAGAAAGAACTTTTTCTCCATCTTTAACTGTAAAGTGCCTACTACACTTTGGCCACCCTATCAATGATAAAGTACCGATAATACAAAATACAGTTAACTGGTAAAGGTGCTAATTACCACACTCTGCTAACAACCTCTAGTGCCTGAAGCCAAGTGAATAGATCTGCCAAAACGCACTCCCATCTAACTAGAGCAGGGTAAAAATGTTTGGAAAATAGTAGGTTTGCCAAAAAATGCATTTTGGGGGACACTAAAACTATTTGTGAATTTGGGTCAAATTCAGAAAACAGTTACAGCACAAAAAAAAACTGATTTTTTTTTAAATTGGCAATGTTGAAACATTTTGTTTGTCTCAAATAACATTTGTTCAGTTTTTCATTTTGAGAGATAAAACAAAAACAAATAAACAATGCAGGTTTGGTTCAGAACAAAGCATTTTTTTTTTTACTGAAAAATCAATTATTCATTCAGCTCTTCTTATAACACTTCTGGCACTGACACCTGTTGTTCAGTACCCCAAGCAGACAACACTTCTCATTTCTGATTGGATAAGAGTTACCCAGGGTGAGCCCAGTATGGTCTCCACAAACATCTGAAGGTGAATAGCCCGAACTCCACCACTTTGCTCTGGAATTTCCTCCCAAGGAGTCACACAGATCCAACATATCCAAAATACCAGTTAATAAATCGGTATTTTTTGGTCTCATCTGCAATCATTGCATTTAGAATCCATGGGAAACGAAGCTTCAAAACACAAAATTGTTATTAATTCTTGGTATTAAAACTGATTTTACTTGTCTGCATTTAGCTGTGTGTCTGTGTGAATTCAGAGAAAACTTGTGGGAAACACTGCAAAACTTTTCATTCAGCTGCACAAGTAACTGGGAAAGCTAGATGACCTTTTGGTGGCCAAGATGGGAAAGTCTCAATACCCTGAACACAAAAAAACATGTCTTCATCCCAGCATCCTCATTCTAAACACTTTACTGGAAGACAGTGTATATGGAGTTGACAGACATGAATCCCAGCAGTTCCACTTGCTACAGGAAGAAATTGTGCTTGGACTGCAGATATACTAAAATGGAGAGTGGGAAGAGTCTGGGTTAAAGATAGATCTAGTCACATCCTGTTGATTTTGCACCCAAGCCTCTCCGAATTGTACCATTAAAATAGAAACCAAGTCTAGTGGCTCTACTACAAATAATTCTAGACCTCCACACATCCCAGTGCAGCAGCACTGCAAAACCCCAGACCCTGCATCCGGGAAGAAAACCTGTCCACACTGAAGTTGAAGGCAAAACTCCCATTGACTTCAATGGGTCCGAGATGTCACTCCTGGATATAGCTAGATCCAACCAACTTTTGACCTCATCACCCCTCTTCTTCTCTCCCGGCCACATCCCAAATTATACTCCGTGAATAGTAAGCTCCTCTTTCACTAAAGCAATCTTGATCCCAACGTATACAGGCACAAGAGCCCCACAACAAGCCGGAGTTGGCACTAGCTGGATCCTGCTTGTTTTTGGTCCCAGTTCCACTGCTTAAGTAGAGAAGCTGTTTAGCTTCTCCAGTTCCACCTTAACAATTTAGACTTTGTTTTGCTACAAACACAACCACCTGAGATCATCTGGCATGTCGAGCCTGCTAAGTTTTGGCTACAAACCTAGAAAGTGTATTATCGAAATAGCCAGCAAGTGCTACTTCTACTGCTTCACCAACACAAAAGCTGCACTCCAAGACATCCCGGTACAAGAACTGCAAAGCCCCTCATTTGGTACCGGTTTCCTGCTAGATCCGGCTAGTTTTTGGCAGCACGCCCCCCCCCCCCCCTTCCAGCATCTAAGCGAAGTACAAATGCCACTTCTCCCCGTCTACTTTTTGCAAGCATGTTCCTTGGCGTCTCCTGGGAGTCTTCACAACTGAGCGCTCCCGGGACATTTAAATGCCCTGCAGCTCTCAGATCCTGGGCGAGACTGACCAAAGGCGGTCCGCGTACCAGGAAAGGAACAGGGACGAGCCCTCTCCCTGTGCCCGATCTCCCCCACCTCCTTACCTAGCCAGTAGTGCAGCTTGTAGAAGGTGGCGTTGCTCTTCTTCAGGGTGTGGAGCACCAGGTACGCATCCCCCACGTAGAAATTGCCGTGCAAGTTCTCAGGCACCGGCACCAGGTCCAGCTGCTCGATCCTCCAGATCTGCAAGCCACTCTTCTGGCCAGCGTTGGCAAACTCCTTGTGGTACAGCTCGGGGGGCATGGTCCGGCAGGGGCGAGAGAGAGCGGCGGAAGGGACGCCGCGCTGGACCCAAGTAACTCAGAGAAAGTCCAGCTCCGCGCCTGACTCTGAGCTGCAGCGGCCGGGCCAGGCAGCTTTATAAAGCGAACCCGATTGGCCCAGATGCGCTCAAGGGGCGGGGCCTGGGACTCCGCTTGCTGCCTCCCCGCTGGGGCTGGGAGCCGCTCGGCAGCCGGCCGGGGGAGTTCCCGTGCGGCGCCTCCAGAGCCCGGGGCCACTTGCCCGCGCCTGCGGTTAGTGCTGGTCAAAAGCTGTTTGTGCTGGAGAACAGGAGAGTCTTTGAGGAGCGAGTCTTCGGCCAGTCTCCAGGGGCTGACGCTGACCCTGCCCTCGCTTGCAGCCTAATCAAAGCCTGTAAAGCCCTAGTGTGATACTGAGCACACCTTCAGGTCAACAGCGGGTAATTTTGTACCTGGCATCTCTGTCAAATAATGACTCTATCCCATGAAAAAAAAATGGGGGTGTCCCATTATTCAAGAACCCAGAGATGAATCTTTCAGGCCTTTTGCTCCTGTTACAGGGAGCCATAAAGACTTGGTTTTTCTCAGGAGTGCCTCGTTAGGGGCAAAGAAAGGACCATGAAGGCCCAGTAACCCACTAAGTTACAAAGCCAAGATGTAAGGCAGGTAATTGGCATGGCGCTCAGAGCTGTGTATAGGCACTTCTTTATTCTAAATCAAAAGAAAATAAATAAAAGAAGCCAGGAAAGCAAAATACAACTGACTCATGAATCATAGGTGTCATGCTGCTCTGTTTGCCTATATCATTATATCACATCAGGATTGGTTTTGTGAGCAACTCTTATCTGAGTGCATAGAGTTCGTATCGCTTTCTCTTGTTGTAGGGCTGTATTTCCTCAGGATGTGTACATGCATCCCTGGAAGGCAGCTCACAACTATCTTTCCCCATAATTTTACTTTGCTTGTTCTGGGGCAAAGAAACCCAAGAAAAAAATAGACTACTTCCTGTCCAGGCTAGTTCCTATACCGTACCTTTTCTTCCTTCAGAGGTTTAAGAGTGTTGTATTTGTGTGATGAGGAACACACGTAATCACAATATAGTCAGTGGTGATGAACTCTTTTTCTGGGGGGGTGAGGGAAGCGAACAGGAAAACCATAGACAACTGCCCGCTAGCATGGAGGAAACACTGCAGGGACTAACTGAAGTGAATCTTTTTTTTTCCCCCTCCAGACCACTCACAGGAGTACTAATAGCAGCATCCTTGGTGAGCATAGTCACCCACACAAAAAAACTACAGCACTCCGTATACATACATAAGACCCCCTCCCCCTGCTCTGTAGGCAACATAATCACTCAGCCATCATGGGTGCTCTCACCTGTGCTGCGGTGACGCTCAGCATGGCAGGTGTCTTTGGTGACTGATTCAACATGAATCCCAGCTGAGACAGAAGCACTGTCCCCTCCAAAGATCAGCTTCGGCAAGCTTGGGGTGTCAGAGACTAGAGGCAGTATCGATGATGAATCAATAGTTGGCTCTAGAGTAGGCACATCTGAAGTCTCCTCTGGAGCAATGTTGCTTGGTGGTGACATTCTCAGCTGATCAACGTGGCAACACCAAACTTTTCCTTATATGAGATGGGTCCAGTGACCTCAATGATTGTTGAAGGAATCCACCTTGGTCTAGCTTTGTAACCTTTAGCGAATACACGTCCTTTTGGTGTGAAGGAACGCAGGGTAGATGATGACAGGGAGGAATCCAAAGCCTGTTCCTGTTTGTGTTGCAATTCCTCAGATAGGTTGGTGTTGAGACGGTCCAGGCATGTCTTAAGCCATTGTCCCTGCTGGGCTAACTGTGGTAGTCAGGCAGGGAGTGACATGCTGAGTGAAGAGGAACCTGGCAAGCCTTGTTGTCAGGCTCTGCCTCTGCTGTTCAGACCTAGTGGTAGGAGCGTGGATCACAACTAGGCGTAGGATTGATCCTGGGCCAGCAGTGGTCCTGGAACCGAGATCCAGGGACAGACCAGGGTCAAAACTGAGATCAGAGCCTGTAGCCAAACCAGAATCAAAACTGTAGCCAGAATCCAGGTGCAGGCCGGAGGTCGAAACCAGGTGATCAGAGTCCAAAGACAAGCCAAATTGATATCAAAGCTGGAGCCCAAATAGATGCCAAGGGTCAAAACCAGATAGTCAGAGTCTGAGGGTTTGGAAGGGATCAGGAGGCAGATGCGAGGCTGGAACGAGGCTAGTGCAGGGCAAGGACAATGCTGGGACAGGGCTCAGGCAAAGCAGGGTGGGGGTCATAAATGACTCATGCCTCCCACATGGGGGCACAATCTAAAGGGGAGGACATGTGAACCCCATGTGTCTCCTCTGCCTAGTGACTTACCCTCCCTGCACCCAGCCCAGGCCACCACACTCTCCCAGCCCCATGTTATTTTGGGTGATAAGGATGGGATACTTTTGAAGATTAAGGCAAGAAGCAGAGTTCTGGAACCATATCCAGCAGCAAATCATGATCTAGAACAACCAGCAAGCATTCGAGTTTGAAGGCTGCCTTTTTAGAATCTGAACCAATGTTGTTCACCTGTAACTTGAAATGGCTATGCTAGGACACGTTGAGGACTTTGATGTAAATCACCCTGAACCACGGGATTCTTATTCAGGAAGATTTTATTATCTTGAAGCAAATAAGATCAACTACCCCAAACAGAAACAGGTCCTTCTGTTGACAGTCTGCAGGACCAAGACATTTGACTTTATACGATCATTCGTTGAACCTGCTTTGCCCAAGGATCAAGACATGCAGTGAAATTATAGCATTGCTGAAGGCACATTTCTCTTCTATGCCATCTGTCATTGTTCGGAGATGTCAATTACATAAACAAAATCAACATTGCTCCCTATGTTGCCGACCAACGTCACAGCGCCAAACATTGTAACTTTGGTAATCTTCTCAATGACATGCTGTGAGATGGCCTTGTCTGTGGAGTTCACAACAAAGCACTTCAATGCTGTCTCCATGCTGACTTGAATTTGAAATTTTTCATAGCAACTAATGTGAACACTGTCCAGCGCAGTCAGAAAGATGATCATTGTCAACAAATTCATTGCAACAATGGGAATTCAAACACATCAATGTCCTCAGACAAGATTAACCATCCCAATATCTTATCAGGCTCCGGGGCTGGAGCACCCACAGAAAAAAAAAGTGGATGCTTAACACCCACTGGCAGCCCCACAGATCAGCTCCTCCACCCCCCCCCAGCCCTTCTGTCTGCCAGCGGGCCCCACCAATCAGCTCCCCGCTCTCCCGCCCAGTGCCTCTTGCCCGCTGTGATCACTGTTCATCAGCATGCAGGAGGCACTGGGGAGGAGGGGGAGGAGCGGCAGCAGGAAGAGGCAGGGAGGGGGAGAGGTGAGGGTGGGAAGAGCTGGGGCAGGGGCAGGGCCTGGGGTGAAGCGGGGATCGAGCTCCACCCGGGAACTTGGGAAGTCAGCGCCTATGGCATCAATGTTCCGCTTGTAGATTCAAACATTCTGAGTACCATTTCTGCAGGAGAGATCACCTTGAACAAAGTCTGCCAATCAAAGGTCAACAGTATGAAGCAAAAAGACCGTGACAAGTATTCTCATCCTCAAGCATCAAACAAACATGACACTTCCATCAAAAATGATGTCAGGAAGCTTTACACATTGAGTGTCTGCAATAAGGAATCTTGAGGTTCTGAAATGTTCATAACAGTGTTCATCAATGGCCATAAGTGTGAAATGGAAGTCAACTCTGGTTTGGGAGTGTCAATTGTCAAGGAAGACACATTGTCTTTTATTTCACATCGTCCTCCCAAATTTTCAAGACTGCAATGGACAAAATGTCAACCTCACCAGAAGTTGTGATGTGAATGCATGCTACGGCTCTTTCTGTGCAAGGTCAATGTAAAAGTCTCTTAGGTAGGAACTAGTTCACACTATTAGTAATCAGCGTCCAAGGCATTTATGCCATCAAAGAAGAGCAACTAAGAAAGATTATTGATGAATTCCCTCAACTGTTTTCTGAAGAATTGGGAGCTTACACGGGACCACTAGTGTTGTTCCACCTGAATCCAACAGTAGTGCTGATCCACATGAAGGTCAGGAATATACCTTTTGCCCTACATCCAAAGATTGACACAGAGCTAGAGCATCTCATTGCACAGGAAATCCTTGAGTTATACATATGAAATGGGCTACACCAATCGTACCCGTACTCAAGCCAAACAGCAACGTGTGAATCTGTGGAGATTGTAAGTACACTTTGAACAAGGCACTCAAACAGCACCCTTACACTGTGCCTGCTGTTAACCAACTGCTCACTGTTCTTGCTGGAAGAAGAGTCTTTGCAAAACTCAACCTTGCGCATGTGTATCAACAACTAATTGTCAGTGAAGATGCTAGAGATGCTCAGATTATTATCAGTCATCAAGGAGCATTTCGAGTCAAGTGTCTCCAGTTTGGAATTTGTATTGCACCGAGAACTTTCCAATGCTTCATGGAAACTCTATTTTCCAGAATTCCAGATACCATACCATATTTTGACGACATCCTGATTATGGGATCATCCAAGGTTGAACTTGCCGAGCACCTTCAAGAAGTCTTGCACCAATTCGAAAAGTCAGGGATTTGAGTCAAAAAGGAAAAATATGAAATTGGATCTACAAGTGTTACCTTCTTGGGCTATTGATGAGCATAGTGCAGAGCTGTGGGGGCTCCGTGGTTCTGTCAAAGATGGCGAACAGCAAAAAGTGTCATGTGGGTTTGTGGGATTTTTTTAAAAGGTCACAAAAATTATGAAATATGGATGGCATTATGGGATGGAGAAAGTTGCATGCTGGAAACTTGACTGCTAGCTCCCAGAGATGCCTAGGCGAGTCATTTCTATCCCACAATACATTGCAAAATTTTCCCCAAAGGCATTGTGCTGGACAGTGGCATGTAGCATACTGGGATACCTACTCATACCTACTTCGCATTAACACAAGCACTCCTGGTGAGTACACACAATGCTGATACAAGCAGCCAAGTATGCATG